TAGCATCTTCATACAGTGAAAGCCAGCAGTGTGTTTAATTTGCATTCTTAGGAATTTAAGGCCAAAATTCAAGAACTTAAGGTAAACAACTAACATGCATTAATTAACTTAAATCAAACTCCAACAATTAAACCATGCTAACACCGCCACATTCCACTAACATTAAGATAGAATACAAGGCACAACCAAACTTTTCCTCGACTATTTGGCCCTATTGCACCTCCGGCAGCAGCAGTAAAGCCTGCCACAACCGCAGGAGTCCTAAATGCTTCACACAAGGACACATAACAAGAAAACCAGTTGGCTCTCTCTGTTTACTTCTGTTCAGGAATTTTCACAAACGCCTTGTGTACATCCATAAAAATATACTTTCTTGCTTAAATATCGCTCAAAAAAAAAATTATCTAATCACACGAATTTACAACTCAAACACGAGACCAAATGCATCAACACATGACACCATCATTGAAGACTACGCATGGCAAGCAAATAAGAGACAAACCGAAAGAACAAGAACGTTCAATAAATTGCCAAATCAGAAAAGCCAGTTCAATTCAGAAAACAAAAAATCCCAGAAAAAAAAAAAAGAAACTCAGAGATAAAAGAAAGAGTTTTTACAGTGCTATGTCAAAGTAGTTAAGCGGTGGAGGTCAGTGACGATGAACCCTTCTCCCTTCCTCGTTTACTCTTCTATTTTGAGCATTTTCTGGAAACTGAGAGAATTTAGAGGGTGAGGTTTTGAGCACCATAAAAGCTTGCAGGAGAGTCAATTGATATTCCAGCCCCTATTTAAAAGTAGAGAAGTTCAAGTCGGCCATTTCTTTCTTCAATCTTAAGCGGTAGGCTACCCAGGGTAAGCTTGGAGTTGCAAGAAAGATAATTAAAAATTTTGTTTCTATAGTGGAAGGGTGATTTTCAATTTAACCCTCGAAAGTAGATCAATATGTTGATTCAGCCCTGAAAACAAAATGAGTGAGTTCCAATTATGCCTTCCAAATTAGAAATTTTCCGCCACATAAGCCCCTCTTTGTCATCGTGCTCAAAAATGTTTGACAAAAACTTTTTGCTTTATAGAAATAAATCCTATCAATTTTCTAAAACGCCAAAAGTCTCTACAGTCTACACGCTTCTTTTTTCCCCCTAAGAAGAGCAGTATTTTACCTTTCTTTTTGGCTCATTATATAAAAAGTTAAACACTTTAAAATTCCTAAAATACTGGTACAATTTCACTTTATATTAAAGTTTCGCCGTACCTTATTGACTCAAAATGAATTGATAAAAAATCTCACTCGAAACACAATTTCACAATTTCCAATTTGGAAAGTTTAATTAAAACTTTTTCACTTTTAGGGATTAAATTGACAACCTGATCCGCTTGGAGCTCACACTTTAAGTTATTTTAATTATTTAAAGTTCACATTAAGTATAAACTTGTAATTTTAACTTAATATGATTTCTTAAAATGAGCAAAGTGTATTTTGGATTATTGAATGGATGTGCCAAGTATTCCAAACACCCAATTTGCCAAGTGTATTTTCGATTAGGGAATGGATTAGTCAGGTGGTTCAAAACACTCAATTTGGTTAATAACTCCAATCTTTTCTATTAGAGGGTCATACATTCATCATTTTAGGGCAAGTAATTAAAATTAATGGACTAAACAAATTTGCCTTGATGAATAAAGGACCATATTTGTTAAATATAAGGGACCAAATTCATCATTTTCCAAAAGTAAGTTCTCCCTACCTTGTCTACCTGCCCTCTTCCGCACAAAAAATACACCAATGAGAAAGCGTTCTTTCCTGCCCGGGGGTTAGTGCGACAGTAGCCTCCTCTTCAGGAGCAAGGTCCCGTGTCGACTCTCTCCCTGTACCGCGCTGGAATCCTTGGGGCGCGCTCTTCCAGCCTAGGGGATTAGTCTGGTCAATTGACCAGGATACCCCCAGTCGACCAAAAAAAAAAAAAGAGAGAAAGCGTTCTTTCCCAAAGGTTTTACTCCCACTTCGGAAACTGACTAGAATCTGTTCAGTAGCTTCCAATCAGAGGCTTCCCAAGGCTCCTTCTGGGGTTTAAAGGTTGTTTTGGCAACTTGCTTCCCTGTCTTTCTTTTATTTTCTGTGAATTTTTGGTCAATTTTCTTTGTTCCATGTTTTATTCTGATAGGTACACATGAATACAGCCTTTTAATGGGGTGAAAATTGTTCAATTAGCACTTCTTGGAGATTTTCCAGTAACTTAAAATAGTATTGTTTCACTTGAACAATGGTATTGGCGTTTGTCTTCGATGTTTTACTTCCTGCAGATTTATATGCTGTAAATAGCTTCTTTCAGTCCAATGAGGAATGCCCATTAATTGCAAGTGCCGTATGACACCAATCCTAAACAGCATTGGGGGTGTTTGATTTCAAAAGGGTTTCTGAGGATTATTATTTTTAGGAATGCATTCAACTTTTTTCAAAAAAAGGCATTCAACTTCTTTTTTTCAAATTGTTATCGGTAGTTGGCTTAAAATATTTTTTATGGTGAACAATTTGTGAACAGTTATGGTGGGCTTTAAGAATAGATACTTGGTGATGGAGGTGTTTCTGGATCCAAATAAAGACCTTGCAGCTGATGAACCCATTATTATTACTCAGTTTAATTTGTCCAAAGCCATCAAAGATAGCATTCTTACGAATTTTGGTGAATGTGGCTTGGCCTCGTCGCTTAATTCATTTCAAGGTTAGCATTGTTGCCGCTTTACTTTTCAGTTGAGCAAGTGCTTGAATGGAGATTAGAGAATACAATTGTGTTGTCTACTCATGTTGCTTGTTTTCATCAATAACGTGCATTAGTTTTATTGTCTTTGTTGCAGTAAAATACGTGAATCCTATTACAAAGCTCTGTATCATCAGAGCCTCAAGGGAGGATCATCAAAAAGTTTGGGCTGCAATTGCCATGGTTAGGAGTATAGGGAATTGCCCTGTGACTTTCAGCTTACTTGATATAAGCGGTGCGTTAGAACAGCTTCAAAATCATTTCATTGTTGAAATGTTGTTGTTTGTTGAAGTAGCTAAATATGTTGAGGATAACTTTGTAAAATAGAATAGCTACAATCTTTCTAATAGAATGGATGCTGAGGATTATTGTTCTATGTTTTTTCGGTTAATGGTATCCTTGCACACCATAGGAGTTTATGCTTATTCTCTTTATTTTGGCAGAATGATCTTTTGTCATAAGTTGTTCGACCAAATGCATCATGTCCTGTCTAGATCATTTTTGGAAACCTTGCTGGGAATTTATTTCACTAACTCAATTTGGTTAATACACTTGAATCTTATAGATGCTTGACCTGAAAATCTCGTGAAAGCTCTGGCTTTACCAGCTAGAAGTGTAGTCGGAACCAAAATTCATTATTTGGCATTTGCCTTCTTAATTTCTCTGTACTGTCTCTTATATGCATCTACAAGTTTCTTTTTTCCCTTCTATGACTTTAAAATCATGTGGAAGCTGGGAAGATATCTTGCAAGCACAGCTCTGACATGTGCATCCTATCATGCTTGATTTAGTACTAATCAGCACTACTATTGTCCTCCAAATAGGAAGTATCAATGCTTGCAAAAAAGCTGCTTTGAAGTGTGACGAATTGAAGTTTGAGCAATACAAGTTAATGGCCCAAGTCCAAACAACAGATGACATCCTTCAACAGATGCAGAACTGTCTTGAAAAGATCAAAGTCTTGGAGCACTAAGGCCAAAGGTGTTGCCTTCAGATTTTCTCATTTCTGTCTTTCCAACTTGGAAAGCCATTTTGCTATTCTACTCATACCTCTCTTGGATTGCCAGCTAGTTTCTACATGTGGCTTTGTCCATCATTTATACCTTCCCTCCTTTGATACCAAATTATTATGGTTTGAGCATCGATGTTGTAGATATTAGGCATCTGTTTTACTTTTTCATAATGATTGAGTGATGATTGTGAATCAATTGTTATCATGTAGGTCGAATTGCACTTTTTAACTGTTGGTTCATACTGTCCACAGAGAATTCATTTTTCTATACTTAAAATCTAGTATTCTCTTTTAAAAGGGAAGGAGTTATTCCGTGTTCCGTTTTTTCTTAAATCATTTTTTTGTTATTGTTTGATGTTCTGTTGCTTATGGAGAGCGAGGTGCATCTTTAACATTTCAATAATGACTCTTGTCATTCTGCTGCCTTTTTCTCTGAAGCTGCATACTCCTGGATTAAGACAGTGTATAAAAGAATGGGATTTAGTTACTTTTTGCGAAGTGGCAACTGCACAGTCCTGTAGTCCTGTTGCCTTGCTCCAGCTGGGGGTTGCATCGAGAGAGTAGGGTGGCAATAAAACTGTGGACGGTGGATCTTCTTTTCTTTTCAAAGTCTTGCATGATTAAGTCATTTATGTTAAGTGCGAGCAAGGAAGGGAATGATTTTGGTCAAATGGGCTTTCATATCTGTGAATTTGTAGGAAAGCATCTCATTTTTTGCTCAATCAAGCCAGATTTTGGACTAGTCAGTGGTTTAAGCTTTCTAGTTACAAGCCCTCCTTAGTGAGAGGAGATCATAATCTGGTTTTACAGAACACCGATTATGATCTATGACTTCTTCCAAGTTCCTTGTACAATTTCCACATTTAGTTGCTTTTCTGTTCTCGTTACCTTTTACTTTCTAAAATCTTTGATATTTCTGAGACATCAGTTATTAGATTAGTCTTATGCCTTGTTCGTGTTTGAATTATGAGGTTGCTTATCTGATCATGGTCAGCTTTCCTCATCTAACCTAATTTCTGCTAGTTCCTGGTAGTCAGTGGGCTTATCACCTTTACCATGCGTTTCTTCCATATTTCAATGCTAAGATCATGTGACTATGTAATGTTTAAGTAGACGAAATGTAGAGAAGTACAAAAAATACGCAGAGAGTTGATGGATCAGGATGTCTCAGTCCCTGTGTTAGAGTAGCAAATTACATAATCAGGAAAGTAATTTCTCACATATAGATGGTTAAGTAGACGAGAAATATCGATTGTTCTCGTACTACTTAGTTGTTTTATGAGTTTAATGCAGGATTGCAGAAATGCAGGACAGCTGCTGAAACTCTGATAAAAATAGGTCTATACTCTATAGTACGCCAGTTCTATGATATTACACTCATTAGGTAACAAGCTTATTAACCTTATGTATTGGGGAACAAGAATTCTCCGCTTACTGTTCTCTGCTAGCCTGATCTCGAGTTCTCTGATTTAGCTCTATATCCATATAGCTTTGGCCCTTATAAGCAGTGGCTTCAGCTCGCCTTTGACATTGAGGCCTATCACCTCATCAGAGCCACCGATCATCTCTTTGCCTATGAAAACAGTAGGCACACTTGGCTCTTGTCCTAGACGTAGCAGTTCCCTTTCCATTTTCTGACCATCTTGATGTTGATCAATCTCATAAACTTTAGGATTTGCCCCAAAATTGTTTATTAGTGTCTTAATGGTGTGGCACATACCACAATTGCTTTTGCTGAAGATAACCACAGGATTTTCAGACCCCAACTTTTTAACCATGCCCATCTCTCCAAGAACAAGGTGAACGGAGACTAGTTGTACAAGGTTTTCGGATTTCGAAGAGGCCAAGTATATGTTAGTTATAGTGAGGTATTGTGCTAAATTACTGGCAAAGTAGCAAGCTGTTGCATAATGGAATTGATCTTGCATGAAATTATTTATAGAAGCTTAGAGATGGTGAGCTGCATGCTGTTGCAGATTGAAAACGATTGAAGAATGTTCCTGGTAAAGTCAGGCCAAAGCATTTGTAATCTAAAATCTAAATCACCCCAAATCATTGCCCCACATTGTCCTGTTGTGCCTTATCTGCATCAACTTACATGTTGCAACATGGACATTTTAGCTTTTTTCATGTAACTAAACCAGAATTTCCTGCATTCAGCCCTCAGATTAAACCATAGCTTGTTTATTATCCTATGTCAACGGTGAGGACGTATTTACATTCTCGCCAAGCTGTTGTATAATTGAGCCAATCATTTAGAATTTCTACTTCGAAATGCATTGATAATTGTACCTTTTTTTTTTTTCCTGGCGTTTAGAATTGATATAAAAAGGATTTTTGAATTTACAAACAATTAAACACTCAAATCTTTGAGGCCTAAAGCTGCTTATGGCTTGCTTTTTACAGGATTTTAAGTAATGTGAAGATTTCTTTTATAGACAATTTTCCCTTATTTGATGTGTGCATTCTTTGAAAACGTAACCTGTTTTCATCAACTATTGAGAATGAGAAAAAGTTGCTTATCCAAAATGTATCACTTTTTTCAGTTCCCTAAAGAGAATCGCATCCAATTCACCCTAAGTTAATTGATGTGGAAACTATATCCTCATATAACTGCAGATGAAAATCCAGACCTGATAAACATGAGTTGAAGGTACCAAAAATATGAGGACACTCGACATTAAAGAAAGCACATTATCCTATCAACTTTTTCACCATCGATAAAAAGGACCTGTCATCGTATCTCTAATCATGAATATCACGTGAAGACTTTGCCATATCTTTGTTTCTGTGGCACATATCCTCCATATCTTCTGATTAATATTCACGACAGGCTCTTGTGGAGGGTTAGACCTGGAGGCATAAAAAAGATCTACTGATAGTAGATTGGAGAGCCATCTGAGGCCACAAGGAAGATGCAGAGAATAACAACAATTAGCAAATTTTCTTCTAGTCACACTAATTAACTCAAAAAAGGGTTTTCTGACTCTAGTTTCTTTCTCATGGCCAAATTTCATTCTGCTTGCAATCTTTTTCAAAAGAATTGCAATGATAAATAATTTTATTCCATATGTTTTTCTTGAAAATCCTACTCAATCTGTGTACACGTGTATGTATTGCCCCAATTAGATCAACAGCTTGCCTGATTAATGTAGGATTTATTTGCTGCATGAGCTGGATAATAACTTTTTTTTCCCAGCAACGGCAACAATCTACGCTACTCCTATACTAATCTATACTATGGGGGAAGGGGAGTCTAATGGGGCTTGTATGGGGGTTGGGGGATGAACCTCCGACTAAATAAGTGCACTATTGTACTCTTTGGATTTTTTAAAAATATGGTAGTATTATGCTGCATGAGCTGGATAATAACTGAAAAGCGTTATGGTAAGTACACATCCTAGCATCACGCAACTCATTTGTCTATTTTCATTGTTCTATAAGGGTGCGTTTGATAAAACTGAAATATGAAATTAATTCATTAAATTATTAAATTGTTAAATATCAAATCTAATATATTTAAGTGCATATCACATTCAATGATAAGTGAACAACTTATCACTTAATTTTGAGAGCAAGTTTTGTCTAGGAAATTCAATGTTAATTAATTCAGATGTTCAATTTTTGGTTATCAAACTTGTTTGAATATGTTAAGATTTAAATTCATTAAATTTAAGTACTGAATTGGTTATCAAACAGGGCCTAAGTATTTATTATTTGGACAAAAGATCGAGAACAAAAACCAAATTTCCTTGATTACATGAAAGAATCTGCAGCGATAAAATGGTTTGTTTAGACGACCACATGTACAAGGCACCAAATTACTAGTGGAGCAATGCGCACATATCATTGAACTAGTTTACACAAAAGCAACAAATTGTGCATCTATATCATGTCATCTTGTTGAAAATGCTAATACTCAATGCTATTTCATTGCTCTTTTGTATGTTTCCAGGGTAAAAAAAAGAGAGAAAAACTCCTACATGTCCACTCAATTTGCATTGTTTCAGTACCCTACCTATATTTATTCTTAAATTGGCATCCATAATTTGCTGCCCTTTCCGTCTATCTTTTCAGTATATTTGCTGTTGTTTTCTTCATTCTCTCGTTCACATTGCTCTACTAATAATTGATGCATTATATATGGGGTCGTTTCTTTTATACAGGAGCACGTATGTTTGTTCTGCCTAATTGGAAATTTTTAGTCTTTTCCAGATATTTGCTTACTCCTAAAATGAATTTGTTGGTGAAACGTTTTAGCCTCTTCTTTTTTTTTTTCCTCAAAATAAATAGCTTGCTTTGACCAAAAAAAGTGTAGTTTTAGTGAACTTTCATGGGTACACAGAACCATGATTCCAATATAAGAAAGAACCCTTTGGCAATAGGTTATCGAAGACTCTTGTTCATTTGACAAACAAAGAATGCTAAAATTTCAAGTTGTTCTCAAAGTTCTAAGTTACAGTTGTAAAAAGCATTGATGCATTTGGTTATAACTTTTAAGTCCCATTTTGTCTTTAAAGTTTCTAATTGTGCCAATGATTTTGGCATACCATGAAGAGCTTTAAGCACTCCACCCTTTCAAAATAACATATAACATCCACAACCTAATTTCTCTACTCAATTTAAATGCCAAAAAGACTCCGATTCATACGTAATGATCATATTTCATTACCTTCATGGAGAGCCCTCTACTACAAAATCTTAAAACTTCCAAAAAACAAGAAACCCTAAACATGTTTTAAACCGTGAAACTCCACCTAAAGATTATTATTAGAATTTTCCTTTTAAATCCACAGTCTGGGCATAATAATTTTTTAGCAAAACTACAAACTCAAAGTAGTTAATTCAAGTTATTAAATAGCCTATCAGCCAAGCCAATCTTATCCATGTAACATGTCCTTTCCTTCCCACCGATGCCAGACAAATCATGAGGTCTCACATATAATAGTAAAAATTTTAGAAATTGGTGCAAGAGTATGGAAAAGCAAGAGCGAATTGAAGAGACATACAGAATAATGAACAAGACCTAAATAATAGACAGCTTCTAAACTGCAAACATGATCGCAAATGAATTGTGAATGCCTCCCGAACAAAAGCCAAACAAGGTCAATGGGGTGTATTCATCGTCATTATGGTTCTCCTCCACTTATAGTAGTAGAAAATTTTAGAATTGGTGCAAGATAGTGAAAAGTGAGATCGAGTTAAAGAGGCAAGTTACAGAGGATTGTGAATTTGTAATATACGTAGAGGGGTAATTTCGTGCTCTAGAATATTGTATTTGTTTATATTATTTTCATTAAGAAAAAAAAAAAAGTGCCTAGAGATTTTGGTGGAGTGCCAAAATCATTACCTTCTAATTATTGAAAAAGGCATTCATGAATTTGTAATTGATCTCCCTTGAGGAAACTTTATTTCAATTGATGCAAGTTTACTTTCGAGTAATTGCTATCTTAAACATCTCCTAACATACATAGTTCCACACTTTTATAAGATAACGTTGTTAATGTCAAGTTTGTGTCTTTGTGGTACAGCTATTAGACAAGCTTTGGGGCCTAGATTATATCCATTAGTTTAGTCAAATGATTTACTGCTTAGCAAGCACTATTCTAGGGTTTGCATTGGATTCAGGATGACATATAAAGTATAGATGAATGAGGTCTGGGAATCTTTTTTCCTATGAAACATATTTTTTTCAATACAGTTTAGGACCCTCCTAATTGTAATGAGAAGTCAAAATATGTAGGTTGCTCTTTTTGCCAGTAAATGAAACAAATTTGAACACCCGTGAGTAAACATGAAAGCAGAAGTTGCAAATCAATTTGATCTAGATATTAATTGGCCCATTGACATGCCTAATGGAGAGAAAACAAGTGCTAACGCATGCTATGAGAAGAAAACTTATTGCTAAAATACGCTTCTTCCATGTTCGCAATCAATGGAGCTTTCCAAGCTCTGGGGACAGATTGCTACTGATTTCGAATCTCTATCCTGTCTGCTGTCTACTTTTTGATTCCTTTTGGTCTTCTCATTGTGTTGTTGTTGATTTCACTCGCTACACGAACACTTTTACTCTCCATTGCATCGATTTTAATGGGTTTCTTTTGATTGTAAGTCTCTTGATAAAATAACTTTGAGGGGTCCGATGCAAGGCATCTGCCTCGTCCTAGTATTATGGATGTGTGGTGGAGTGGTTGGCTAGTGATAGATCTAGGCGGAGGGAAAATTTCTTCGAAGCATTTCCTAACTCTATCTACACCTAGGAATGTAAATGAGTCTAAACAAATTGAACTTTTATCGAGCCGAGCTAGAGGCAAGCTCGATTAGCTTGAATTTTTTATGTGTAAATTTTACTTATATATTAATTGAGCCAAACTTGAAAATTTATCAAAAGCCAATTGTTATTTAAGTTTAATTTGATTAGTTGGTGAAAAAGCTTTTACGGAGTCACACTAGATTTGAATATAGAGTAGTTTGGTTCATCTTTCACTCCTATCTACGACACAAAGCATCCATAGGAGGAACAAAGTTCTCGTACTGGTCCATCATCTTGGGCTGATGTAGTGCAAAGTGAAAACTACTAAGCTAAAGAATGGTAGACTTTTGTTGAAAGTTTTGGCTTCGGCGATGGTGACCTTCCAGAAACAAGCTGTGGTGATAGTTCTGCCTAAGAGGTGGTGGATGGGGTGAAGAAGTGGAAAACAGCTCTGGTAGGATTTGTTCTTGGGCATAACCCTCCATTTTCTGTGATGCAAAAAGTTGTCTCAACCACTTGGAAGGAATTTGGGAAAAATAACAAGTATGTTTTTTTGTGTTTAACTTTGAATCGGAGGGGTCTAAGATGAAGGTTCTCCTTGGCAA